CTTTGTCAAGTTAAAGTTTGAATCTGAGTTAGGCTAGCTACTAATCTTCAATACAAAAAGAAAGAAAGAAAAGAAAACTTTTTAAAAATCAGATCCTGATTCCACCCAATCTATATTCAATTCCAGCAACATACTTCTGTGAATTTAGCTCGTAACTTACATTCCCCGAATCTATCCAATCAATGTCGTCATAGTCTACCCTTATTCCCCCATGTAGCTGCTGCAGGTATGAAGCTGGTACAAGGCCAGTGAGTCTTTGGTCAGCAGTTCGCACCAGCCACCAATCACTGTTGGTTTCCTGAATCACCATAACATAATCTCCTGAAATAAAACAAAAAATGATTAGCATATGAGACATTTACAAGGTATTTATTCATTTTCCTCTTTTCTTTTAGGAATATGGACAATAAGTACAATTTTATACCTTACTTTATAAACCCTGAGATGTGGTTCTCATAGCAACATAAAAAAGAGTAATGCTGAATGATGTGAAACACTTTCACAGTTATAAAAGAAACTAAAAACCTGTATCATTTTCAGTAAAAATAAGATCTTCAGGTCACAAAGCCTGCTTAACTTTAGGCACAATAGTATCCACTTTAGGTTAAAAAAAAATCATTTCATATCAAACTAGTATCATCTTCAGGTCCCAAAACTTGTAGAACTTTTAGTCAAACTAGTACACTCTTAGGTGAAAAACCTGAGTGATTTTTAGTCAACCTAGTATCCTATTTAGCTCACAAACCCAAACCATTTCTAGTATCCTCTTCAGCTCACAAAACCTGTGAAATTTTTTGGCCAAACTAATATCCTCTTCTATTTTTACACATGTTAAGCTGCTTTGTGTGGCATGAAATTCACTATCAGCATATCAAGAGAGACAAAAAAGAGAATTTGAACGATCAAGAAAGTAGTACCAATGTGAATGAATGAATGAATGAATAAATAAATAAATAAACAAATAAACATAAGAGACACAAAGCAGAATGCCATATCATACCTTGCTTAACGGAGAGTTCATCACGCTCCACACTGTGGTAGTCATACAAGACTGTAGCCAACTGTCCCAGAGGCACCAAATCATCCCCATAGTGGCTGTCAATCAAACAGAGACATATCAGATATCAGATTTCATTTGGAGTACATGGATGTATCTTTTATGATAAATCTTTAGTTATGTATACCTTGTCTGCTATCTAAAAGTTTTAAAAATATATAAACAAATAAAAAACAAACAAGGGTGTACTATTTACATGACTGTATATGTACTTTTGCTATATGGAATCTAACCTTTTAAAAATCAGAACTTACTTAACACTGCTGTCATTTAGGCCAATGGGGTTTTCACTTGCCATTTTCAGCACTGTGTCCAACTTGCTAAGAATTCTTTTGCCTTGTTCACTCCACAGGTCTTTACTTCCAACAGAGTTAACTGTGTTCCTTTTAGTAGAGGCATCGTGATCAAGAGCTGTGTTGTGCACGTCACCGTGCATATTATTGTGCTGGAAAGAACTAGGGTCTAAAGGCCTGGTCTTGTATGGAAGAACTTCAGATTGTGGCACAGAAGATACACTTCTGTCCATGGAAGTGGAGGTGTAATTCCTATGAGGCGAAGAAGACAATTTTCTTGGGACAATGCTTGGACTTGGACTTCTCAACATAGGAGAGTGTGCAGTCACTGAGCCAGCAGGTTGAACCGCAAGTGGGACTGTGGTATTAGTGACCTGCATGTCCTCATCATAATCTAGCATCAGGACTGGTGCTTCATTGGAATACGAACATAAAGCCACCATATGTTCATGTGGATGATAGTCAATGCATGATATTGTTCCATCAATAGGTAAATCCATAAAAGCTGACACCATTTCTCCGGTGTCTGAGTTCCAGATATAAACACCATGATCTTCACTGCCTGACAATACCCAAGTTCCACATGGGCTTACACATCCTCGAATTTGCTCACGTACATTCAGTAAACCTCTCAACCTGTGAGTTACAGTCCAATGCACATGATTCACAAGTCTTATCTGGCTGTCCCTTGTGTGAACCAGCAAGCGGTAACCTCCTGGATGAAAAGCTATGGTATTGATTGTGTTTCCTAAAATGTCAGGTATCTTTACTTCATGTTCAAAAGTCAAGGGCTTGATTTTCTTCTTTCCCTTGTCCTTCTTTGGTATACTGACCTTCCAGACTAGAATTATGCCTTGCTTATCCCCTGAATACAGCACATCTCCTTCTGGATTGAAACAGAGTGCATTAATAAACCCCAAGTGATTTGTTAGTTCCTGCACAACCCCATAACCTCCTCCCTTACTGCTGCACCAGACCCTTAAAACATGATCATAACAACCAGTGACTATGACTTGGTGTCTTGAAGGCACAAATCTAGCTGTATACACATACGAGGGGTGAGCTAAAACCTGGCCATGTCCACAGCTTTCCTCAGCTTTGGTGTTCCAAACACGCGCTGTTGAATCTGCAGATGCTGTAAGCAACAACTCGTCACTGTCACTCCAAGATGCATCATAAACAAGCCCCAAATGTCCAGATAAACTTAGTTCAAGCTGCCCACTTAAAACATCATATACAAGAATCTGCTTGTAAGCACCACAGGCTAGTTTCAGTCCACTGTTTGAAAATTTTACCACTAGGCAACCTTGGTCAGTATAGGAGAGGCAGTGTCTGACATGGTTTGGGATCTTACAGGACTGGTTTGGTTTGCGTGACCAACTGACTTGTAGTTTGTCATGTGTACTTGAAGGTCCATGAACTGATCCATTTGTTGACGACTGATCTAAAACATCCATCAAAACTGATCCTCCACCTTGCTCCTGCTGTGTGGCAAGCATGGATCTGTAAATATAATTCAGGTATTAGATGTGTGTTAATATACAATTACAAAACCATCAAATAATTACAAAACAGGGCTAATTATTTTCAGTTAAGATAAAAACAAATTTCATCCCTTCAGCTTATTTACAGACAATCATTGTATACAAACTTGCTATTTCCTAAAATATTGTTTTTTTTTTCTTTTCTTTTTTCTTCATCCCTTCCTCATACTCAGTTTTCAATCTCTTTTACCTTTCCTTTGTTCTCACTCTCTCTTTTTCTTTCTCTTTTGCACCTTTACCACCCCTTTTCCTCCACTTTCCTCTCCTCTCTCTTCTCCCTCTTCTTTTTCCTCTTCCTCCACTTTCACAGTTATCCTTCCCCACTTCCTTTTCTCCTCTTTCTTCTACCCCTCTTCTCTTCTTGTTTTCTGCCCCTACATTCTTCTTTACCCTAATCTACTTCTCTCACTTATCTCTACTTTCCCCTCCCCTCTCTTTTCCCTCCTATCTTCTTTTTCCCTTTCAATTCTCCTTTTCCTCCTTTTTCCCTTCTTTCTTGAGTCTGCTTATCTTCCTCAACTCCTTAATATTCTCTTGCCCTCCCTTTCCTCCTCTCTCTCTTCTCATATTCCTCTTCCTCAATCTCCTCCCAATTCCATTAATTTTCCTTCCCTCCTCCACACCGCCATTTCCTTAATCCTACCTCAGAGCTGGCCGAGGATTCTGCGGTATGACCATTTCCTGGAGGGTGACATAGAGAGTGGCTGGATATTTGGTCCGGCTGCCGCTTTTCCACCAGCTGTGTAAGTCTTTGAGGCCAATCCCAGACTGCTTTCTCGGCCGGAAGAGCTGCAACCGCAACCTCTGACCAATGTTGAAGTGGTTGTTAGCCCCCTGCACCTTGAGGAATGCCCAGGCAAACGTCGTCAAGCCGCGACTTGCTGCCGATCCCCTGGTCTGGTTGGACGTGACATTAGAGGTGTTGGCAGATGAGGGTGGGAAGTCCATCATCTGGAAGAAAACGATGACTTGTGGCTCGGGTGAAGTGAAATGCCCCATCGGCTCATTAAATATCAGCTGCTCTTCCCAGCGGCAATGAAGACTCCTGAAATAAGAGGAAAATGTGTTCATGTATTTTTTTACATGTAGTAAAAATAATTTTAAATGTAGTAAAAAAAATTATGATAAAAATACCTGTACATAAATACATAAATATAAAAACATAAGTAAACAAATAAATATCTATCTATCTCCATGACTGTTTCTATCCATGTAATTGTTTATCTATCTATCTATAAATCTATCCATAAGCAGAGTACACTTCCATCTCCAAAGATAAATACTGAATTACCCCAATTCACCAATAGCCTCCAATCATTATTCTCAAAAAATATTTCTCTTTGGTCATTACGTAGAATGAAAGAAAAAACACACAAATCTTTACTTGGCTTTGCGCAAATCATATGGCTGCGTCATGATGGGGAGAATGTGGTCAACGTCGTTACTCTCGTAGTAGGAAGTGACTTTCCGTTCTGGCATGGATTTCTGTAGCCAATCACCCGTGTCTGCATTGCAAATGTGCACCTGGAATGGGAAATATCTATGTATATAGATACATACGTACTAATAAATTCATACAAAAGCTTCAAGATCAAAACCTAATCAAACAAAGAACCCAGTCTATTAGACTTTCTCATTACCCTTTCCGAATAAAAATCATTAAAAATCTGTGAATATTACCTGGACAGCTGGATGAGGCAGCAGCAGAGGCGATCCCTCGAGCCTATCTGCGCAATGCACTGTTATGCCTAAAACTTTCCCTGGGAATAAGAGATGACTGAGATTAAGCACTTAAAATTTTGATTGGCTCTCGATCCATTCCTGAAAATGATGGTATAATAATAACAGTTCCTGTTATACTGACAGCAGTTGCTGGAATAGTAGTAATAACAGTAATGATAGCTAATGATGATGATGATGATAATAATCATTATCATTATCAAAAAAAAAAAAAAAAATAACTATAATAATATAAATGAAAATAATGATCAAAATAATAATGATAATGATAATAATAATAATAATAATAATAATAACAATAATATCAATAATAATAATGATGGTAATGATAAAGATTAAGAAAATGTAGCAAACCAATGATGATAATGACAATGATAATGATGGTGATGATAATAATAAAATAGATAATAAACCATACTGCTGTGGCTTAGCCTAATTGCCACTAGTTACATGTAATATCCACTGTAGTTATGTTTTGTAAATTTAGTGTATACATAGATAGCTCAAAATGTGCTTAGTCACCCCTTGTGAAAACACAAGCTGCTAATTCAGATATGACTGCTTTTTTATCTATAAGCAACAACTGGGAGAGCCAATCCTTCTTTGATTCAAATGAAAGGCATATCTATTCATCTTTTGTGTAATCTTGTTTATACTACCTTATCTTACACTAAGTCACCTGCAGTGATTCTGGGGGGAAAATCTAACATAAATTAATGCACAAAAAAAGGAACAATCTTACACCAACACACAGATGAACATTTGTTTAAAGATGCATTAACTTTGGTCTTTGAATAATGGAACTTACACATATTCTGAAAATTCATATTGCATTTCCACCTACCTCATTCAAGCTAGACACATAAATACTGCCAAAAACACCTACATATTTTGATTTTAAAATAATCTTTTACATATTATCAAATCATACTAAACTCTAACAAACTACATATAACTACAGTGGAGAACACATTAACTCATACACGACAAAGTATGGCAATTCTTACTCTCATGCATATGTGTATGTTTGATGAAACATGGCAAAAGTTAAATAAAAGAAAAGTCCAAATTATCCATATTGATACCTTCAAATAACAAGCTGAGCTGAAATAAGTGGGTACTGAGTGGACCAAAAGTACTTTCTTTCGCCCAATATGCACATGAAACTCTGACCTCAACAGTGCTCTTGGGGTAAGGAAAAGTCCAAAAGAGAGTTAACATGAAGAGACTATGCATACAATAGGATATCAAAATACCCTGAACATAAGAGAGATCACAGTAAGGTGTGGCACAACAAGAGAGTCTGCAAAACAAGCAGAGAGCGAAATGAAATAAAATGAAATGAAATGAAATGAAATATGAAATGAAATGAAATGAAAAGAAAAGAAAAGAAAAGAGAAAAGAACAGAAAAATAAGAAAAACAGAAATAAATAAATAAAGAAAGAAAGAAAAGGAAAAAAAGGTAGAAAAGAAAAAAAAAACAAAGTTCCACATAAGCCCTTACCATCATCCTTGACAACACGCCTCGGCTTCCGTGCCGTTTTCTTCTTGGGCACAGAGACAGCTTTGAGGTAGTCTCTCGTTGGTGAATCAATCTCTGCGCCAGAAGGACAGGAATCTTTGCGTGGAACCTCTTCATCATTGTTGTCATCCTAAAGATGTATCAAAAGCCATCCTAACTTTATCTGCTTAAACCTATCTTGCATTCTCCAATATAATGATTAACGAAATGTTGTTTGCCTCTTTATTCAAGATTCACATTTCCACACTGCATATCAATGACCTCTCATGCCTTATGTCTCGTCGAACTGATATGCGTCCCTTAAAAACCTAAATATATCAATAATCACATATAAATGGAACTTCATACACAGTACCTTTTCTCACAAGTTTAAATAGTTACTTGTCATATGACTTAATAAGTAAAATCATTCAAAAGATAGCAAAACTAAATTGTATCTTCTTTATTGAGTTACTCCAGTCCAAAAAGCACATATTCTTTCCTTATGCATTACATCATACCTGATAAGAAACTAAAATTCAAATCTCTATTGGACTGTACCCTCTGTATATTGTATTTAGATACTTGGAAACTGAGAACACAAAAAACAAAAAGGTTCATCAATTAAGTGTTGAATACTTCTCTCTCTCATAATCTCAGTCATCATCATCATCACAGAAATGACCACCACTACTGTCAATATCATCTTTTAACTGTTCTTTACCTGCATAAAATACTCTACCTAATCTACATTGATACTACTCAAGCTAAAAGACAAACCTCCTCTTTCCCCGCTTCCAGATCATTGAGAGTTTCATCTTCCGCTTCTTCGGGTGGTTGGAGACGTTCCTCATCTTGAACTGTCTTCTTTCCTTTTTTCTTTTCCCTTATGACTGTAACTTCTCTTAGTTCCAATTCATCATCAGATTTCTTTCCCTTGGAGAACTTACTTTCCTTCTTCCTAATAAGGGATTAAAATTCATTTTCATATTCAAATTGTTGAAGAGTAATCTACATTTGTAGATCTATGCATATTTTTGGAAATACCACAGTATGTTTGGGATAATCCCTGTTTAAAGGAATAGCAACTATAAGAAAAAAAAAACACTTCAAACACACATGGTAACTCTCTACCCAATATAGCAGCATAAAAGTATCACCATCCCAAGCTATATATCCTTTTTTACATGTATATATTCCTTAAATTCTGCATAAATAATCTCAAATACCAAAATCTCTATATTCAACATACTAACTCTTCAAGGAAACATAGAAAAACTACCTTAAAGGTGTGTTCAGATTATCCACATCATAATCATGCCTATTAGAATTATCTGAGCTGAAATAATGCATTTATTCCTACA